AAAAATATGTTGACACTTTGCTTAATGGCCTTTCTTTCTGAGAACTCTCTGGGATGATAAGTGTTTTCACTTGCTTGAAACTTTTTGTGGTAAAAGTATGATAGCTGGGATCCTACGCTGGTTATGCAACGTGGCTCTGAATTAATGAGGGGAACACGTGCGCGAAACAGCACAGCAAGTGAAAGACACAACTGCACCAGAGTCGTGGCAACATTGCTCACCAGAAAGAAGGAGAGGTAACATTTCTATCTTGTTTACGGTCTTCGTAAGCCATTGCTTATCATTTAACATTAAATAACTCTTACATTACTTCACCCTTATCCTCTCCTACCTGAGTTAAATTACTTCACTGCTATCCTGTCGCAGCTGCGTCTCTCACTCACTCTGCTGTCTTGCGCATGTCTTTCCTTCATTAATTCTGAGCCGCATTGTGCAACTAGCATAGCGTAGGGTCCCAGCTATCATACTTTTGCCTTTTTTTGTTTTTAATTCTACTAGAACTATTAAAATTTGGTTTAAGTCATCTATTACTTAGATGGAATGGATAAAATGATCAAATCCAACTAAAAGAGACCAATTGAATCAAATGGGATTTACATAAGTGTTGATTCCCAGCAATAGAATCAATGGGTCTGCCCTCATGTATAATGGCAGAACATATGCAACTTCGTTTCTGCAACTCTTCTGCTCCACATTGGACCAAGATGTCAATTTCCTTTCAGGAGGGAACTTATGGGTGATATTCTGGTTTACTTTAACTAGCCAGAAATAGACTGGCAACTGTCACCTGGAGGGTCTTTTCGGTGACTACTCCTAGACTGTGGAATGACCTCCCAGAAAAAAATGACAGCTAAACATGCTGTCTGAATTTTACAAAGCATTATAAACCGATCTCTTCCAGAAGACTTACTCAGTTATTTTTAAACTATGAATTTTTGTTTTAGTTATATATTGTATTTTAATATATGTTGTATACTACCTTGAGTCTTAGGGAAAGGTAGGTCAGAAATTTGGAATTTTTAAGTATGCCATTTCTTAAGTGAATGTAAGTAAATGTAAGAATGAGACCCAAGCATGCTGTAAGTAATGACAATCAATCCACCTGGTTAAACTTACGTAATTTGCAGCCAGGGTGGAGTAGTTGTAAAAGTACTAAAGGAGTACAAAACTTCTATGTTGTTTTAGGGTTGGTTTATGGAGGGTTGTTGCTGGAGGCATGATGTTGGAAGTATGGAGAGTCTGTGTTGGAGGAGTGTGCTTATGAGAAAGCTGCAAAATTCCCAAAGAAGAAAGAGAAAGCTTTTGGAAGCAAGAAGGCTTCCCCTGCTTGTGAGTTGCTGGTAGAAAGGTTTGAAGAAAAGTTCCTGTATTGTAAATATTCTTTTGTATAATGCCTTTTTCTGCTACAAAGACAATTGATGTATGTGTCTACTCCTTAAACCGGAGAGGGAGAGCTTCTGCTGAGAATGGGCTATTTCCTGTTACCAAATAATAGAACCTTTTTAATTACACTGTGACAAAATTAATAGTAGTTGTTGTCAGCATCAGCATGATTGTCAGCTCATCATATTTCAACCAACAATTATTTCATTAGGAAAGACAAGTATGGAAGACCAGTTTCCCTCTTCCTGGTTAAGGACAGTTTAGGTAGAATTAGTTGTGTAGAGCTGCAGTTATATCATTGGCTGTGAAGGTATGGTGGACCCCATCAGTGAAATGACTGAAATGCTTTTCTTCTGTATATCATCTGATACATGATATCGCCATGCTCTGGGGATGCATGGAACTGCACCCAATTCTGACACAAAGCAGTTATTACGGATCCTATTTATCTCATTTATTCTAATGGATCATCTGATGGGAACAATCTTGTTTCATATGTTGCTGCTTGCAGAGGGCATTGTCCCCCCCCCCCATGGTTTCATTATGTTTGATGTTTTTAACCTATAAACACATTGTTGTGAATGGAAAGGAGGGAAACAAATATAAGCGATTAGTAAATCTTAGTACATTTAAGAGGTGCCGTTCCTTTGTGTGTGGCACTTGTCTGATCAATGAAAAATATCTATAAGATACATGGCAAGTGCTCTGCTTCCACTGTTACAAATAAGCCTGAAGCAAGGAGTCAACACAGCTGGTGTCCTAAGATAGCTTTTCTCTATTGCTTTCTAGATTCTACGTGCTTCAAAATACTTGACAGTATTTTGGCACAGTTTTTACTACTTATCGCAATTCACACTTGTGATTAGGTATGCTAGTGAAACCCACTGGCCTTTGCAAAGGACACTAGAAAACATATTCTCTTTGCTCTGTCAAGCTGTGCCATCTGTGAACAGCTCCACTGCCTCATGATTAGGAAGTGAGAATCTAGTAGGTCTTTTTCACCCAGATGTTTTATTGTTGAACTCTACTGTACTAGTCTTTCCAAACCCTTAGCTTTCTGTCGCAGACAGTTCTGTTGATTCACAAAGGATTCTACAAAAGAAGCAAATCAATATATATGCTACGTCTTCTTTTGTTTATGCAAACCTTGTTTTGTCTACTTTCTCAAATGGAAATGATTGTTGAATTTAAAAATTAATGTACAGATATCAACAAACGATAATGTAAGTGCTACCTATTAATAGAGTGAAATACAGCCTTAAAATAAAAAGTGTTGTAAGCCTCTAAAAAAATGGTATCTATATACTTGAAAATAGGTTAAGATTGGGAAATCTCATATTACTTTAAGGCCCTAGGGGTGCATATATATATAGAGAGAGAGGGGGGGGGGAGGGGGGAGGGGGGAGGGGAAAGGAAATGAGTCTTTCTTTCTAGATGAAAATAGACCTCAAATAAAACAAACAGGATTTCCCTTGCTACCAAAGATGACTCTTTGAGAACAATCCACCAGAAGTTCCAATGCACAGCTTTTACTAAATTAAATGGAAGCTGCAGAACAGAACATCCTGGTGGATTGCAACCCATATTTCATACTGAATATACCGTATCAAGCATCATTCGGCACTGAAAGTACTCCACATAAAAATAAATGATATGCTGGCAAAAGAACTGCTTAATTTAAAGAGTTCTCAGAATAAAAAGTAAATCAATAAAATGGATTAAGTGTTTAAATATATAGTATCTTAATTAAAATTTGAACTATGCAAGTTCCTTCAATGTGCTATTAAGTGAACTGACCAAGTGGAAAATAGAACCTGACCTTTGAAGTGTAGTCACTTGAGAACTAGTGACTTCAAAGAGGGAAAAAAACTTTCTCCTGTTCTTTTTCATGTGCTTTAAATTGAATTATGAGATGAGTCAGGTTAAAACATCTCTATGTTTTACTCACAAGAGAATTATGGTCATTGATTTCCAGCTGTAAATGCTCAGGGCCTTATGTTACATTACTGTTATTCTCAGCCAAGTATATTGGATTTTGAAGTTTCTTTCCCCCCCCCCCCCCAACATATTTTTCTTAGCCCACAGAAGCTGCTTTCAACACTCCTCAAAGGACCAAATTCTTCTCTGACCAGTGATGTACATCCTCCCTTTTTCTTCTCTATTAATAATACTGGAGTGAGGAACCGGTGACTTCTGGATCCTGTCACCAACAGAATAAATGAAAATTGGAGCAATCTGTCACATTCTATTGAATACTATACATTATTTGACCAGTATGAATGAAATGAATTCATTAACAGCTTAGAGACTTGTAATACAAAGTAAGAAAGGGCACCCAAAAGAAGAAAATATAAGTTTACTGTGCCTTCTCCAAAATGCTTTGAATTAGATGTGTTTTGGATTTATTCCCCCCGCCTCCAATTTTGGAATACCTGTATTTGCGCATATATATATATATATATATATATATATATATATATATAGGGCTCATTAATGTCATTTAGATTTCATATATATCTTACAGCTATAGCCTGGATGTGATTTTATCCAATATTTTAAATAATTTTATGCATGAAACAAAATTTATGTGCATTGAATCCCAAAAAGTAAAGGTGCCATTATCATAGCCACACATGTGGACAATTTTGGAGTGTTTAGGATTTCAGAAGTTTGGATGAGGGATGGTCTACCTATACTTATGATATATCTCATGAGGGTGTTATAGGCATATTTCCTAACTGTAGTGGAAGCGTATTGTTTACTGAACCCACCTCTCAAGACTGGTACAAGCATAAGTGCGACTTCCAATTGTTCATTGCCCACATGTTACACTCTCATTTTTGTTGTTGTGCCATTTCAACTCATTGTGTCTTTCAGATATAAGACATCTACAGGTTCACAGCATGTAACAATCATTCCCAGGTACAAGCATTCTATGTTAAGAGCCAGCACTTTATAAAACATTGCCAACATTAGCTCTTTATATTCAATATTATGTATTTGCAGAACAACATGGACAAAATCCAACAGCTGAGCACTGCAAATACACTCAGGGCTTTTCCCTTGCAATGGAACAGCTTGCATTTTCTGATCCGTAACTTCCATAGCTAGCAATGGGACCTTGTTCTGCAGATGGTTCATTGAACTGGGGTTAATGTTTGCAATACTGAATGTTTAAACCCAACATACCAATTTCTAGATAACATTCATATGCTCAAGGCAAGACAGACAGGATTCTTAAATATACATTCCAAAGAATCCCTACAAGATATTAAAATTGTGAAACCTAATCTAAATTATGATATATTTTTTAACACCCCAAATGAATCATTTTAGATGTTTGCAAAAGGAAGATATTCATGCTAAAACTAAACATCAAACTCAGTGAATAATATCTATTGAGAATAGAAATCCTGAGATATGTATAGTACATAATGCTGTTTTGTGTATATGTGTACTGTATATATTCATAATTCTTTTTAGAAACATTTACTAAGAATCAGTTTCTCATTAAATTGTTTAATTAGACTACACACAGAGACATTCTCTATTCACTTGTGTAAGTATATTCTAAAATTAGCCAGTGCAGAATAATCAGTCTGCGTCAACTGACTTACCCCATTTAGTGGATAGGTCTTCCATCCCAGCTCTCCAATTGCAGTAGTTGTATCGAGCAGCACAACTAGAAATAAAAAGTGGACATCCAATTATTTTTTAGAAAATCCCTTTACCTATATACTTTTTATACATGGCATAAAAGTAATCTTCTAGTTAAGTGTGCAGATTCTGAAAATAGCGGCAAGTCTGTTACTGATATGTCAAACCATGATATAGTTCAATTATAGCAACATGTAACAACCAATAGTGAAAGGACCAAAGCAGTAACATCTCCAGCCCATCCCCTGTTCAGATATCAGCTGGCACACCAGCAACTTAAATCAAGAAATAGTTTTTTAAAGATCTACAAAGACATTTGCTGGAACACCTCAGCAAGTGAGAGTCCAAACATGGCAGGTTAAAACCCAGAACCTCAATCCATGGCTGAGACCGGATGAGAAGCTCCCTCCTGGGCACACAGAAAATTGGGTGACTTGGAAGGCACTGAACAGACTGCACTCTGACATCACGAGATGGAGAACCAATCTTAAGAAATGGGACTACAAAGTGGAGTCCACAAGACGCGACTGTGGAGAAGAGCAAACCATAGACCACCTATTACAATGCAGTCTGAGCCCTGCCATATGCACAATGAAGGACCTTCTCACAGTGACACCAGTGGCACTCCAAATGGCTAGCTACTGGTCAAAGGACATTTAATATAATGCCATGTTTTCAAACTTTGTGTCTTTTGTTTGGTTTTTAAAAATACAATACAAATGTACCCTTGGTTCGTTTCTGATACGATAAATAATGTTAAAATCAGATGAACGAAACACAATAGTTTAATACATTCCTGTTCTTGCAGTAGTTCATGGCAACATGGGAAGAAAACATTAGTTACTTATTCCAAGCAGCAGTGTTGCACTAATTGACTGATGGGTAAAGTGTGGTCTTCCAAATCTTGATGTATTGCTGCCCATTAAGTCATAGTCAGTGCTGGGGAAATCTGGGAAATACAGTCCAACAACATGAATAATGTAATGTAAGATAAAGATCAAAATGAGCTAAACTGCCTAGGTGGGAGAAAGAAGCAATAAAAAGGTGGTTTCCAATATTTTTGAAGCAAAAAAAAAAAGACCAAGGAATCAGTGGGATCACTGCTCAGTAAGGCTGGCAAAATGCCAACAGGTGACAACAAAAAGGCAGAACTGTTTAGAATGCATTTTGCTTCAATTTCTTTCCAACAGAAGAACTGTATGCTAAGGAAATAGGATTAAGAAGCCAGCCAAGATTCACCTAGTTAACCTAAATGAATTCAAATCTGCAGGACCAGAATATCAAAAAACTTGGTCGCATAATTCCTATCATCATTTGTGAGAAATTTTGGAGAACAGGTGAATAGTCAAAGGCCTGGAAACAAAAAAAATATGCTTCCTGTTTTCCAAAAAGGCAAAAAAGAATGTCCAGGAAACTACAGGACTCTCAACCTGAGCTCCATGCCAAGAAAAAAAAAGTTAGAAATGGATTATACAGGAGTCTTTCATAAATATCTTAATGGCAATGTCAAACTAACCTTATACATTTCTTTGATCAAGAAAAGAGAGAGCATACACATAAACAGCATTCAAAATTCTCTTTTCAGCATCAGTGGCAAATGTGTTTTTGTCACAACAAAACCTAGATAATTTGAAAATACTAAAGCTGAAAGCTAAGGATTGGCACTCTGTACCCACTGATTTTGCACCCTTGGATTCAATCTCCAATGGCTTGAAAATCTTGTTTAAAAATTCCCAAAGGTTGTTTAAAGAGATTGTGTTGGCAAAAAAGAATTTCCCTTAAAAATTTACCTTGGGTTTAGACAAAGGCTAATGGTAGCAATGTTTTGGGGGTTTTTTGGGGTTTTTTTTCAATACAATACCAGCTTGTTACTGTTTTTTGTTGGAAGAATGGAATGTACTCATTCCATAAACAAACATACCAAGGACATTCAAAACACTGAAATGAATGGAAGAAAAAACAAATATCTTGACATCTGCCCCCTTATTTTGGAAATACAATGGATGTTACAATTCAATGTCAGCAGTCTTGTAATTCTTTCAAATTATTACATCTCTAAATTTTAGTAATTTATATTGACCAGTTTACTTTACCAAAATTTTAAAAATTTGGTGAATTTCAGTTTAAACTTTTCCAGATGGAATACTTTCAAAGAAAAATAAAGCACAGTGAATAAGAAATACTCTGTTTATCTTTTCTTCTTTCCTGAAAAATACCAGAATTGTATGAACCTAGCTGAATATATCTATATATTTGCCCAGAGGAAAAAACCACAGAGAATTTTAGTCCGAATATCACTGAAATCTAAATAAAAATTGAGGGTCAAGTCCCAAGAACCATAAAAGTGCTTGTATTATTTAGTGATTATTTTAGTGAACCATAGGATCTAGATTCTTTTTTCTTCGTTTAATCACAAAGGGGAATGAATATTTGTTAAATTCTGTTAGAATTCTTTGAGAATAATAATAATAATAATAATAATTGTAGTAGTAATAGTAATAGTAATAATCAACTTCTGAGGATATGATCAATGTTTTCATCAGCTTCCTTGCACAGTCTGCATTTTGGATCATCAGCTGATTTTTCAATCCTGGCCTTAATTGCATTTGTTGTGACTGGAATTGTATATTTCTGCCGCTTCTGTGATTGTTTATTTGTATTTTAATTCTGTAGCTTACTTGTCAATGGATGTCCAGAATCAGTAGCATCCACTACAGTCCTTTTTAGCCTGGGCGTCAACTGAGCCAGTATGGACTATTTTTGGTTTGCTTCTCCATTGTTTGCTTCTCCATAGCTCTTGGTTCCACTCCTCAGCTGAGACATCTCTGGCTTGGTTGGCCCTGCTGGTAGTTACACTACTGACAGCACAGCTCTCAGCATCCTTGGAGCAGTTAAGCCCCCCACCACAAAAAGGTGGCACAATCGGGGGTGGGTGGGTGGGTGATGAAACCATTGATCATATCCTCAGCTGTTGCAAGAAAATCGCACAGACTACAAACAGAGGCACAACTCTGTGGCCCAGATGATTCACTGGAACTTATGTCACAAATGCCACCTGCCAGCAGTAAAGAATTGGTGGGATCATAAACCTGCAAAGGTAATGGAAAATGAACATGCAAAAATACTGTGGGACTTTTAAATCCAGACTGACAAAGTTTTGGAACACAATACACCAGACATTATGATTGTGGAAAAGAAAAAAGTTTGGATTATTGATGTTGCCATACCGGGTGACCATCACATTGAGGAAAAACAACGGGAAAAAACTCAGCCATTATCAGGACCTCAAAATTCAACTGCAAAGGCTCTGGCATAAGCCAGTACAGGTGGTCCCAGTGGTCATTGGCACACTGGGTGCCATGCCAAAAGATCTCAGACAGCATTTGAAAACAGTAAATATTGACAAAATCACGATTTRTCAACTGCAAAAGGCCACCTTTCTTAGATCTGCACGCATCATTTGAAAATACATCACACAGCCCTAGACGCTTGGGAAGGGTTCGACTTGTGATTTTGTGATACAAAATCCAGCATATAGATCTCGTTTGCTATGACATACTGTKRTTTTATATCAGTAAAATAATAAACAACTTTATTTATATCCAGCCCCCTCTCCAAACAGGACTTGGGGCAGCTTACAGAAAATAAAACAGTACAAAAACTTGATACATAAAAAGGTTTACCCACCTGGCGAAGCTGGGTGGGGAGGCCTGGTTGTACCCTTCGTCGAAGGGAGAATGGTAGTTCCAGCGGAACTACGCTTGGGGGCGGAGCCAAGTTCCTTGCTTGGCCCGCCCCAGATCTTCAGTCTGCCGGCGACCGTCGAGGGAAGAGCAGCTCAGGTCTGTCTCGGGGCTGGGAGGGAGGCTGGGCCTGGGGGCCTCCCTCCCTGCACCCCGTGCCATCCTGGACGAGTGTTGTGTGGCGGGCGCTTGGCGTGTGCCGTGGGCGCTCCTCCTCGTCCCCTTTTGCCGCTGCGGGGCCTGGGTGACGCGGGGAGGCAGCGCCTCGCGGTGCGCGCTGTGTGGCACTCCCTCGAACGGCGCTGGAGGCCTGGGCCGGCCTCATGCCGTGCCGCCGCCGTTTTGCGCCCTGGTGGCTGGGGCGCGAGGCCCGTTTAGGCCTCATGCCTCCCGTCGCCGTTCTCGCGCCCTCGGGGCTGGCGCGTTAAGCCTGGGTCGCCTTGGGCATTGCTGCCGCTGCGTGGTGCAGCTTGCAGCCGTCGGCGCTCCGCGCAACTTGCTTTGGCTAGCCTTGATGGGCGGGCCTTGCGGCCTATACAGGCCCGGAGCCAGCGGTTAATAGGCGCGGTCGGCATTAACGCTCCGCGCACGCGGTCGGTTGGGCCCGATAGGTGGCCCATGATGCCTTTGTAGGCCAGGCGCCATTGTGATGGTTGGCTATGCCCTGCGGGGGAGGGGGGATTTTGCTCCTATCCCTTTCACGGATAAATGCAGCTGCTTGGGGCCTTTTGGCTAGGCAGCGTGGTGGCCGCATTGGCCACAGGTATGGCGGCCATTTTGGATTGTGACTGCCCTTAACGGGCCCAGGCTGTAGGACATCATGGCTGGCGGCCATTTTAGATGGGTTGGCAGCCATTTTAGGGGGGTCAATATCCACACAAGAACACAGTTATGCATATTTGGAAACCTCCCGGTTATATGGAAGCTACGTGGTGGATCGTGTGAATGCCATATATAGGGGTTTATTGGCAGGTTGCTGCTTCATTCCATATGTCAGTTAAAGGAGGTGTGATATGGTGTTAAATTTAGGTCAATTATAAATAATAATAATAATTTAAATAATAAATATATATATAAAAATATTATTAGTTATATGGTAATAATAATAATAATAATAATAGTAATAATGAAAGTCATGCAGGACAGCCCCTGCCAAGGAACTGGATTATTCAGGGGGATTCATCGCTGGCATATGGCCACCCAGCTTATGTTTAGAGGTAGCCGGGTGGGGGGGGCATGCACCGCACCATGGGGCGGAGAGTTCCACTGTTGAACGAATCTC